TTTTTTTTTTTTTTTGACTAGGTATCTAAGCCTATGTATGTAATATTTTATCAGTCCTTTTTCCATACTGCTATTCTTTCCATTGCGCATAGGTATGTTATTGTCATTTGAATGTGATCCACTGCATTGATCCTTATGTACTGATTTGATATAGGATGGCTGAACCGCCTCGGTCATGTGACTGTTTTGTATCTCTGCCTCCGGGTTCAAAAGAAGATTATGTGATATTTGGTAAGAACTCTGACCGGCCAAGGGATGAGGTGCAGGAGGTGGTGTATTTCCCTGCATCCCCACACGCTCCTGGATCTACAGTGGAGGTGAACTGACTTTTTCATTACATTTCATTAAAGTGCATAATATTTGCATTTAAAATACCTGCTTTCTATTTAAAATATATTTTAATATATGTTTCAAATTTTCTCCCCTTTTTCCTCCAAATATGTGGTTGTCAAACAAAAATCTGGAGTTGTGGCCAAACCATAGATGATTTACAGGTGATTCTCTTTTCCTTGTAGTGCACATACATTTCCATTCCTCAAGCAGAGCACACTCATGCGGTTGTGCTGAGCAGACCCGCTTGGCTCTGGGGGGCTGAGATGGGGGCTAATGAACAAGGGGTGTGTATTGGGAATGAGGCCGTCTGGACCAAGGAGCCTGTGGATCCAGAAGAAGCTCTGCTGGGAATGGACCTGGTTCGGTGAGCTCAAAACAAGCAAACGTCTTTATCTTCCTGTTTTCTAGTCTTAATATTGACCAGATGATGTATATTGTGTGTGTCAAGGCTGGGTCTGGAGCGCGGGGACAGCGCATGGGCCGCTCTGAATGTGATCACAGGTCTGCTGGAGCAGCACGGTCAGGGCGGAGCCTGCAGGGAGACCGCCGAACCCTTTAGTTACCACAACACCTTCTTACTAGTGGACCGACAGGAAGCCTGGGTCTTAGAGACTGCTGGGAAACTGTGGGCTGCACAGAAAGTCACAGGTGAGGAAAGATGATTCATGGTTAGTGGTGAATGCATAAGTACATTTTTATACAGTTTTGTTCTCTCAGGATCTGTCTGAAAAGAACCAAAATCAAAGAATATATTAGCTTAAATAATATTATATATATATATATATATATAATATACACACACACACATATATAATATACATGTACAGTCGTGGTCAGAATTATTGGCATTTGGCATATAAGCATTGAATAAAAGGGTGCCGTTAATTGTGTCCAATGTGTATTAGAAACAAACATTTATGTCATAATGATATTTCCCCCCATTTTAAATTCTTAATTCTCCAATGAAAGGTTAGATTTATGTGAGTTTTTAAAATAAAAGATCAAAATGATTAACAATGCAGATTTATTTTCACAGCCTCCTTTGATCATATTTACCAAGGGTGCCAATAATTCTGACCACGACTGTATATGTTATAGAGAGAGGAATTACAAATGTGTCAAGTTATGTAATTTATAATATACAATTATATACATAATAATTATAACATTAATAATAGAAATGAACAGCTTATATAAATGTACTAAAATATTTGATTTGTAATGTTACTTTGTTTTAGCATTTTCAAAATCATTTATTTATTTACAGGCTGTATTAGATTTTAAATCCCAGATTTACAGTGTGGCCTTAGACTTTTGGGCCCCACTTTATTTGCAGTTATATATCTATGTACAATAGCTATATCAGGATAAAACATCTCATGTATTGATATAACAGTTTTATATCTAAAAAAAATCCATCTCTAAAAATAAACCCGAGGTTATTTATTTTGTCAGAGGGAGTCAAGAACATCTCTAACCAGCTGACGATAGGCACAGAGATCTCTACGGAGCATTCGGAGCTGCGCGCTGTGGCTCAGGCTCAGGGCTGGTGGAGCGGAGAGGGGGACTTCAGCTTCTCTGCTGTCTTCAGCCCTGACAACCCCCCTGCCAGGATGGAAATGGCCAAGCAGCGGTATGTGGGCGGCACAGCCCTGCTCCAGCAGCACAACGGTACGTTTGCGTTTCTCTGCCATCATAACTGAGGAGTGGGGTTGTGTTAACAACAGGGAACTTGAATCTTATAGCTAGGTTTTGGAAATGTGTATTTGAAGTGTTTTGGTTGCAGTAAGATGCAGATGAGTTCTATCCTAACTCTTGCTATCCAGAGTTGTTTTGTTATTTTGAAGAGTGTATCCATTAAAATATGTTGAATACTGCCATCTACTGTTTAGAAACTGCATTTACATTTACTTTATTTATTTTTTATTTGAGCAATTATTAGTAAAAGCATGAATGAATGATGCATTTATATAGCGCTTTATTGTGTATTTTTGTATACCCGAAGCGCTTTACAATCATGTGGCATGGACAACTAAATTTGTGACTTTTTATTATGACATTATGATTATAAGATTTTGTCTTCTTTTCCGTTTCTAATAATTTACTATAATAATAATAATACTGTGTGTTTTATATATTGAATGTGGTTTATGTAATTATGTAGTGCTTATAATGAATCATGTGACTTGAATTGCCATGCAACTACTAGTACTATTTGAGATACAGTAGCATTTGTTTTGTTTTCCCAATTGCTCAAAATGTCACTACTTGATTGTGGTGTGGTGATTATTTTATTTTTTTCAATGTTTTTTTTTTGGGATCCTGCTCCCACATTTATATTATAATACATGATTATTATTATTATTTATACCTTATATTTTTATTGAATACAAATGTACTATTTAATGTTGTTTTATTATTAAAGGGGTCATATGATGTTGCTAAAAAGAACATTATTTTGTGTATTTGGTGTAATGAAATGTGTTTATGCGGTTTAAGGTTCAAAAAACACATTATTTTCCACATACTGTACATTATTGTTTCTCCTCTATGCCCCGCCTTTTTGAAACGCGTCAATTTTTACAAAGCTCATCGGTCTGAAAAAGCGAGGTGTGCTCTGATTGGCCAGCTATCCAGTGTGTTGTGATTGGCCGAATACCTCAAGCGTGAGACGGAAATGTTACGCCCCTCACAATACTGTGATGGCGTGTCCCAGCCGGAGCGACGACACAAAAACATTAAAACCCATTACAAACGAGGCATTCGTTGCATCCAGTGGGGACATAATTATGGATTATAATGACTTGTACTGTCTTTTACGCGTTGCGTAACTTGCGTTGCATCGCACCGGAAGACTTTAGTCTTTGCAACTTTAGGGATCTTATCTATTCACGAACAGCTTGTAACACTGCAAAGAGAAAGGAAAACTTGAAATCGCATCATATGACCCATTTAAAATTAATGGAATATATTATGTTATTTTTATTTTGTGGTATACAATGCATGCCTTTTTTTGCATTATTTTTTTATTAAATACATAATTGCACAATTACAGATGTTACTGTGACTTGCTGGTTTTACAGGTTCATTTGGCATCATCTAATCTACACTACTGTTCAAAAGTTTGGGGTCAGTAAGATTTAAAATATATATAGTTTTATTCATCAAGGGTGCATTAAATTGATCACAAGTGACAGTAAATACATTTAAATACAATTGAACTGTTTTTCAAATAAATGCTGCTCTTTTGAACTTTCTATACATTAGTGAAACCTGAAAGAAAATGTATAATGATTTCCACAAAAATATTAAGCAGCACAACAACCGTTTTCAACATTGATAATGATAAGAAATGTTTCTTGTGAAGCAAATTAGCATATTAGAATGATTAGAAGGATCATGTGACACTGAAGACTAATGATGCTGAATATTCAGCTTTGTCGTCACAGGAATAAATGACATTTTAATATATATTAAAATAGAAAACATAATTATATTTCACATTATTTTGTAATAAACTATTTTATCTTATTATTCTGTAATATTATAATATTAATATTGATAAGCATAAGGGACTTGTATCAAAAACATAAAATCTTGCTGACCCCAAATTTTTGAATGGTAATCTATGCCATTTGCCGTATAACAGAGCTGACAGGCCAGTTTATACCTGAAATATGACATTTGAACATGTTATTGAACATTAATGTCTGAAGAAGTTCTTTAAAGTTATTTCTGTAATAGTAACTGTGTCATGTGCACCTGCCACACATGTTGTTCTCCTCTCCTGACTTCGCTCTGCACAGGCTCGGTGACGGCCGAGGTGATGATGAGCATCCTGAGGGACAAGGCCAGCGGGATCTGTATGGATTCGGAGGGCTTCTGTACTACAGGCAGCATGGTGTCCATCCTCCCGCGCAACCCAGACGTGCCCTGCGTTCACTTCTTCACTGCCACACCCAACCCCTCCAGGTGTGACCCTGAAAGATCAGCTCTAACCTACGTTGTCAGGGTCAACTCTTCACACTTTGATCCTTCTCTTGCAGGTCTGTATTCAAGCCTTTTATCTTCTCGGAACGCATGAGGCCCGTCAACATGGTGATGTCTCCCCAGTACGGCCCAGACGATCCTGTTAGGACACAGCCTCGGTTCCAGCACCAGGTGGACCGGAAACACGAGCTGTACAAAGCCCACCAGACAGCAACGATCGGTCCTGTAAGTCTGCGAAAATGAAGAACAAAGGCTTTTTATTGATAAAATGCTCTTTGGATTATTTGTTTTTTAAGATTTTGAACATGAAGCCTGCAAAGCCTACTGTATCATATCTAATACACAAATTTCTAAGGCCTCTAAATTATCAACATGAGCAAAACTTTGCAGAAAAAACCTATTGTACACATTATAGGGCTGCACGATAAATCGCATGCGATATTTAACGCGCATCTTATCAGTAAAGCCGGTTCTGTAATCAGCGGTAAATCTCCATCACGTGCGTGCTCGCGTTAAATATCGCATGCGATTTATCGTGCAGCCCTAGTACACAATCTACTACATGCCTTCTGTTGTTTGACTGATAGTTTATACTTTTTTAGAAAGTAAAAGCAAGCCTTTTAGTATAGACCAAGAACGATAACTATAAAGATAACTATAAAGATAACGATATTAGC